TATGGCTCCAACAAGGCCTCTGGAAAAATCCTTTGTTTAGAGCACATGGCCTGGGCCCAACACGTTCCTTTGTGTTTCAGTTAAACACTTCAAATGAAGTTCATATTTAAAGGTATCCTTGGATCCCAACATTGTCTTAATATGTCTTTTACTTTAACTGCCCTAAGATCGGATGATGGTTATTGTTTGTATTAAAACTGTTTATCATTTTCCTTTAGAAAGCTTTTTGAAAACAGACATTGCAGTATTTTCTAAAAGTATGAGTAAGAGTGCTTTGGAGTGATAATAGAGAGGGTGTTAGGAACAGATGGAATAAGCAGCTGCTCAGGGATGGATCATCTTGACAACCAAAAGGGTTTGTCTCAGCATATCTGTAGACTGTTATGTAATCTAAATGGTTTTGTCACAAACAGAAGGAGAGAAAAAAGTCATTGGTATTCAGGCTGCTCTTGAGGATTCTCGAGGATTGTGTTCATTAGGTTGTTGTGCTGTGTAACTAAGACTGAACTCAAGAAAAAAAAAATGACTAAAGAAACTTAAATTCAGCTACATCATTTTATTTGTTTTAATAATGATTGAATATAGTTAGAATGGGAAAATCATCAGATGAAAAAGGTGTTTTACTCAAAAATCCAAACACTGTTAGGAATTATAAATGTAATACTCAAGTATAACATGTATTTTTACCAACATGCTGTGCTAAAGTCCTACATTGAAAACCTAGTACAATGTAGGAAACGACAACAAACCACCTAAAAGTTAATAATATTCTCCTCTATTTTTGCCATTGTCATCTCCCAGGAAGAGAATGAAGGCCCGTGCCCCTCCACCACCACCGGCCCCTCAGCCGGCCCCACGCCACATCTTCAGAAACACTGTACCTGATGGGGGAGGGACATCAGGAATGGATGCCAAGGAGAACATACTGAGACCCACTGTGGATTTACAGCTAACACTACCACAGGGATACCAGACTTCTGTAACTGAGGATGGCAGGTAAGAGGATGCAGAGACGGGCACACAAGCATACATTTACTCTAGGTGTATTATTTTTACATTGCATTTGGCTGTAAAATTACTTTAAACCAAATGTAATTTGCTCATGAATACTGTGTTGTCCATCCATCCATATTTACATGACATTATATCTATAAATATGAGGAGCTTAGCTATTGCTCAGCAAAACTTCATTGCCGGACAAACAGTATAAGGCCTGTTTGTGGCTTCTGGGTTTGTTTGGGTTGCTGTGCCAGTGGGGCCTTGTCAAGGGGTCCCATTCCCAAACTCAGCACAAGCTTTGTCCCAGAGAGATGACAGATGAAGGCTAACCAGCTAAGTGCTCTCTGCCCCTAATTTGGGGCTGAAAATCAGGGATTCCTCCCTTGTACAGATCAACAGGACACTTTTTATTATAACTATAGGCAAACCTTTTTAAATGTTCATGTTAACCAGTGTGCCATATCAACATTAAGATTAACATTAAGTGTATTTACAACACTGCATAAAAATGTGTGAAGTGAGAGCACTTCAGCATTTCCAAAAAACTCTTGCACACTTGTTGCCAGTATGTCATTGGTTAGGCTACCATGTTCCAATGATGGCTGACCCGTGCCATTGACAAACTTTTCTCTGCTACTTCTCACTAGTAGTAAAAGTAAATTGGGCTGTGTTTGTTGACTGATATTGTGTCAGATATGGTCATAATTGTGATAGATAAGGCAGAGGTGTCACATTGTAATCAGTTTATTGTATGAACATGTACAGTTCAACCCGGCCAAGTAAGGTAATAATACGTTTAAAAAAAAAAACAGTAATCAGTGTATTGTGGTCATATTTCAAAATAGTTTTTGTGAATTGATGTACTGTAATGTAATACTGTAATATCACTGATCTAATAATAGGGTTACACAATTATTGTATTTGTCTTCATAGTATACAGTTTTCTTTTCCAGGATTTAAATGTGCAAATGAAATCTTAAAGATACAGAGGTACTTTGTGATCTTTGTGATATTGTGAAAATGCTATATAACTATATTGTATGTGATTTGAAACAACAATCCTTGGCTCCGTAACATGCCTGTATAAATATGACCCCATGTGAACCACAGGGGTTAAACAGATTAAAATTAACTTAACTTTGAATACATAGTGTACAAATAGTGCTGAATAATTCAACACTATATTAGATCATTCATTTCAAATAGTTATTGTATTTTTGATTAACAAACAATCTGCAGAATCAGCTTAAGAAGCACATAACACAGAACACTGTGTTGGTAGATTGCAGATTGTCGTTTTAGTTTAGCGTCAATGTGATAGTGATTGTCAATGGTGTCCTTTGTAGTGGTATCTCTCTCAGTTCTGTCATCTGATCTGGCTGTTCCCAGAAAACATTGGAGACTGTCTCTTGGTTTCTTTATCTGAGGATTGACAGGTAGTACTGTAGGCCTTCTCATCAGCTGCAACCCCCCCGACACACACACACACACAAACAGACACAAAAAGCATGAAGCTGACTTCAGAGCTTCTCCTGTGGCTTGATGGACATAGCAGTTTGTCATATCAAAAAGTACTCTGCAATTTATCTGTCAGTATTTCTCCATTCCACTGTTTTGTGGCTGCTGTTTTATTGTGTGAAGGCTTGTTTCTGTCTAGATAAACCACACTGATTAAATATACAATATATAATAAGTGGCTTCTCTGCCTTCTCTTGTTGTTTTGGGGCCTTCTTTTTCAATTCTCCTGCAAAAGCTACAAAGACAGCCATTTGATATTCATGTCAAATCTACAAAACAGCTCAGTGTTTAACATCATAGCGATTGTGTCTGTCAATTAGCCATCCCTTCCAAGCGCGTCAGGCCCTGTCCCTGTTTTCTTGTATGAAGTAATTACTATTCTCTTTACCGGAGCTAAAGCTAGGTAGGCTTTGTAACCCTATCTTCCCTACTGCCTCTCTCTCTTTCCCTCTCTCCCCATCTCCTCCTGTGGTTCTTTCTTCCAACTCCCTCCCTCCCTTCCTCCCCTGTCTTTCACTTTCTCTCTCTTCCCCTTTCTCTCTCTTTCTCCCTCTTTCAGTAAGGCGCTGATGGACCTGCTGGTCGAGCAGTGTAGCCGCTACCATTTGAATCCAGCATTGCACACCCTGGAGCTGCTGTCACCCGAGGGCCACACTTTGGGGTTCAAGCCCAACGCGCTGCTGGGCTCCCTCAACGTGGCCTGTGTCCTCATCAAGGAGAAAGTCTGGGAGGAGAAAGTGGTGCGTAGACCAGCGCCCAAAGTGCCAGAGGTGAGTAACAGTGGAGTCTGATACTGTGATCTGGATGTTCTTTTTGTCATGTGTGCTTTGTACTTTGGATTTTAAACAGCATATTTAAAACCTGCTGAAATTGGGTGTGTTAGGCTCGGATTCTTGTGGGTTTTGATTGCAGAGACATTTAATATTTTAAGAAATTAGTGCAAATTGAGTAATAGGAATGTACATGATAACATTTATAGAAAATATCCTAAAGCTACCAGTGTTTTTTGGAATGGAAATTACCGTTGTCCAAATTGACAGTGAAGAAGCCCTTAATGTAGTCTGCATGTACTATACAGTAATGTCCCTGTCCCTTTTCTACATTTTACCTCTGACTGCTGGCAGAAAGCAAGGCCAGTGAAACCTGTAAGGGCCCATGCTAAGGTAGGAAGCCAGTTGGGATTAAACTGGCTTAGCATGACATTGGAGTCAGTTCTTACTCACTGGTTTTTCAGTCTGGTTTTTCAGTAAATGTGCCTTTTTTGTTTTCATCACCTGTATTGCTCTCTGTCTTGTCATCTATTTCTACATCACACTTGCCTATCCACACTTATTTCTACAGAGCATTAGTCTCGTTCTCTCCCTGCTCTCCTCCTGCAGTTTGAATATTTGATGAGTGCCTTACCTTTAGTTACCATGCATTATTTCTCTGCTCTTCTCAGGGCTCACTGGCTGCTCTCTCTCTTTGACCCTGCCTGGCCTCAGGCCAGAGTCTGACACTATTTCAGACACTGCTGTCAGTCATCTCTTTTCTCTGTTGTATCTGTGTTTTCATTGTACCACCAGTCTCAGCCGATGTATTGTGATATATTGTTCACTTGTCATTTTATTAGGTACACGCAGCTAAAATGAATGCAGTCTAAGAGGAGAGTCCTGCAATATATCTTATGTTCAGTTTTTCTTGAAATTGTTTGAGAAAGTTGTTGATTCAACTTGATGATCATTTTGGAGACTGCATTTTGTGGTGTTGTCGAACTGTGTTGTGTTATATTTAGAGGTGTTGTTTGTGTTGAATCTACCCACACTGATATTAATGCAATGGACAAAATGTAAGAAACACGTTTTAGTAAAATGCAGTACAGTTTAACATCAGTATATGTTCTCAAAAGTAACTAGACTGATTCAACCAGCACTCATTAAACGTGTGTAAACCTTGCATCCAGTCTAGTATTCAATGAATTACATAATTTTTTAAAGGCAGACTTTAACCTCAAGCAACAGTCTTTATTAGGATTTCAATGAAATTAAACACCTTCTACTAACCTTTGGAGTAAAGCCCTGACCTGACAGTATATACAGTATATAATTTTATCTGTCTGATATCTGTATTTTAAATATACAAAGAGCTCCTACTGTACTGCTCTTATGTATAATTATTATTCTGTCATCTATCAAAAACAGTTTTGACTGTGAAACCAATGGCTTACTGGAGAGGGCATTAGACCTTGGCAGAAGCCGGTGATCTGAGTGTTTTCATGTATTTGAAGCACCTTTCCCTGTTGTGATACATAACATTGAATGTCACTTTACTTGAGATACAAAAGCCACTAAAGAGCGGGGTGTGTGTTTTTAAAGAGGCTGATACGAACCACTTGGTGATAAAGACTGCTGTACAGAGCTTGTCTGTTCTCCATATAGAACACTGTGTAGTGTTGCAAGATTGACTACCTAGCACACACACATGCAATATCACATATTGCATGTATGAACACACATCTGCACACAGGCATAATCTTTAGTCTATTAAATGACAGCAACCAAAGTCTAACCTTAAGTTACTCATTACTGAAGTGTCTTTATGTCTTTGGATGTCTTTGTCTCTTTCTCGGCCCCTCTCCCATCCACATATTTTACATTTCACAAGTTCTGTTTTTATTCTAAAACTCCAAATAAAGCAACACACCACATAAGTTCAGTCAGTAAGCTTAAGAGATGTGGAAATCCCTGCTCTGTGACTGCCCGATCTACAATGGCCAAAAAAATCTGCCCTAATTTGACATTATTGTCCTTTTTTTCCACTATTCTCTCTTCTCTGTATCAGAAAACAGTGCGTTTGATGGTGAACTACCACGGCAGCCAGAAAGCAGTGGTTCGGGTCAACCCAGTGGTACCACTCCAGGCTCTGATACCGGTCATCTGTGATAAGTGTGAGTTTGACCCTGCACATGTCCTGCTCCTGAAAGACAGCATCAGTCGTCACGAGTTGCCACTGGACAAATCTCTGACAGAGCTGGGGATCAAGGAGCTCTACGTACACGATCAGAGTCTAGGTAAACCTGTCATTATCTGTTTTGAGGTTCAGTCATTTTTAAATTATTCAGCATACAATATATATTGTTATTGTTGTTATTTTAAATATAAAATTATTTTGTTGAATTCAATGAATTTAAAATAAATAGAACACAACCTTGATTTATGCTCTGTGAAAGTGCTGGCTTATGGGAGTAAGTTAAATAAAACAGATAAAAGACGTAATCATGGATACTGATAGGTGCCTTGGCTTGTCGCTTTTGTGTCATATTATCTTGCTGTTGGCCTGCAAATGTCCCCATAGCAGCATACTGTTGCACACACTGCTATAAGGGATCACAGTGTCTTTGTAAAATGTATGAATGCATATAGAAACACATAGATATTCAGTGAAATCAGGGAAAAATATTATATTTTCTCTGATTGTATGGTGTAAAATCAGTAACGAGAATAAAACACATATTGTGCTTAAACAGGAGGCTGAGCAAAGTATAGTTATCATGCAAACTCACCCAGAAAAGCTCAATAAGCTTCAAGGGCTGTAAGCCACCAAACCAGAATTAAATTGTATTCTGCAGTACAGCATGACTAACCATGTAAATATTCGTTGTCATAAAGTTTTATGCAATCAGAGTCAATATTGGTTAAAGCAGCAGCAGGCACGACAGAGCATAAACAAAAATATAAGCTTGTGTTGTGTTTCTTACTATATGTTTATCTAAATGAACCTTGGTAAATACAATTTGTCTCTGGGGATACAGTAACTAGAATACAACATCCTTTATCTAGTAGGAAGTTGGATTATGGTCTAAGATCTGATGTTATGGTTCATTACCATGGTTACTGTCCACACCCAGTGATATTTATAGATATTGTTCTTGTCACAGAGCGTCATCGTGGAGGAAAATCTTGTGATATGTGGTCATGAAAGATATAAGCAGGAACATTTAGAACATTATGTAATTTTTATGGTCAAATACTATTACACAATGCCTCTATATTGGTCTTTCACAGTGATTATTAAGGACATGTAACCTGATTTATTGCAAAAAATCATCAGAGTTTCTTCCACTGGTTCAACTTGACCAGTTGTGTTGTGGTGTAGTGCAAATACAACAGATGAATTAATTATCTTTGATACCGGTCAGTTATATATAAGTGATTTCATGTGTTTTTAAAACCTTGTCATGTTTTCCAGTTCTCCAGCCTAAAATGGCTTCTGCCCCTGCTCTTAACTACTCAGGTATTAGTCATGATAAGTCTGGTCTGTCTTAGTGTTGCTGGCTCCAACCAAATGTATCTGTTTAACATACTGCTGCTTGCTATTAACCCCACGTGAATGTTTGCTTGTTTCCCTTCAAAGAAATCATTTGTTGGTTTAATATCATTGTAATTTTGGTACTTAACATCATCAATCCCCGTTATTTTAAAATGACTTATTATGAACATAGTACGCCTCTGCTTTTTTGGAATTCAAATAACCCAGTAGCACAGCTCTTTAATAGTTAGTTTCCCTTCCCTCCCTGTCTGCAAGGCAACAGTTTTATCATGACACATTCTTACTTACTGCTTTGTAGACTGGGAAGGTTAGATAGAGGTGGTCTATAAGAAAAATAAAGCTATAGCGCCCTCTGCTGAGGAAACTCAACCAATGACCAATATAAACACACACAACATTATATTTCTGTTTATCAAGTAAAGCCAATTAATTGGACATAGAAATAAAAAACTACTGTTCTACTGTCATGGCAATCCCACTCTCAATTCTGCTGTTAACCTTATTAACCTATGCATGCTGGAAACATTGGTCACTCACTGAATTCCTCACAAACCTTTTCTCTGTTGAGTCTTACTCATTTGCTTTGCTTTTATGAGGAACTTACACTATCATGTCCAACTCCTCTCCTCCTCCTCTTCCTTTTTGTTTTCTTTTTGTAGACTCTGTCCGCGCCAGTACTACCACTTTGGGCAGAACAGAAAAGAAAGGCCTCCTGGGTCTCTTCCAGTTTAGTAGGAGGAAAGCCAAGGTAAGACTCCAGATCTTTTTGTTGTATTCACACAAGAAGTGTATTCATCTCACGCTTTAATTTCAGCTTTAGCAGTGTAATGATGTTTTATTATCAAAGTCATACATACACAATATTGCATTGGAATTAATGAATTAAAAGCAGCATTGAGGTAATGTCATTGAGCACTGTTTAGCAGTGAATTACTTGCACAAGTACTATAAGAAATATGAGGTCTTGTAATCATTTACAAACTAACCTTGAGTGGTGCATGCCATATTCAGATTGATGACTAAGGCAGGCTAAATGCATCGCTGAACAGTTGAATGGTGCATGTTAGCTGTGCCTTCCATTTGCAGACAGAGACAACATCTATGGACATGGATGACTGTGATGAAAAAGTAATCCAAAATACAGACACACAGTCAAATGTAAGTATTACCAATAAATCTGACAATTCCCGGACATGATAAGTAAAATCAAAGTGGGATCTTGTTTTATTGTGATCTTACATTAATGTGTCTCTGAAGCATTCCAATCTTAAACTATGGGTGGACAGAATAACAGGAACATCTGTACAACCAGTAACAGCAAAAACTATAAACAAACCTTTAACATTACCACAGGGATGAATCCAAACTTCTTTGGTGCCTTTTCCACATTTGCGACATTTGGACAAGCTAAACCAAGATAGTACTTATTGCAAGATTTCATCAAATGGGTTTGAGGGTTCCTGTTGTTATATCCATTTCTTTCATGGTTGCTACTCTCACTGTCTGTTACTCTCACTGTCTGTTACTCTCACTGACTGCTCTCATATGGCATTTAGCCTGATGTTTGATATACAAGCATTCTCTGTTTAAATAATATACTGTATATCTACTATATTCATCTTCATGGTAGATGCACATCAGTGATGCTCTCTATATTGAACTATTGAGAAATGTTGATTCGGTGTGTAAGGTCGCACCAGTGTTGCTACACAAGCACGACCCTTGTGACATTTTTACAGCAGGTACATGTGCATACACTTGTAAATTTCAGTAGTTAATAGTTCTGCAAAATATATTTGTTAAATAACTTGTGAGTTGACGAAAAAAATACTTAATAACTGTTACAGCTGGTAACACATTACCATGTCATTATTTTTGCCCTTTTTTGTAGAGTAAATGTTAATGTATTAATCGTACAATATGTCATTTCTGCCACTAGGGGGTCTCTCACATCAGAACAATAATAACAAGTTTGATGCCATAGTAAAGTAAGGTCATTGCATTTAGGTTCTCTGGGTGGGATTCCTTCAGTGTTCATTGTTCAAGAGTTTTTTTTTTTTTACGTCCGATGACTAAAATCCTTCATAACATTAAAATCAAGACCAAGATCTAAAATGTGTATTGTAAAAATGGAGCCTAAAACAATGTTAATGCATGCGTAAAGCGGATAAGACGCCGTTGACAGGTGACTGATGAAATGTACTAACCAGAGCAGAATTAGAGCTTTCTCTGGGTTTGAACATTGTTGGAAACATTTTGGATAATGTCAGTACACAACTCTAATAATAATAAAATAATAAAACATAGGTCTAGGGTTTACAGACATTGTGATTCGGAAATGTTACATATTATATATTTAATTAATCAATTGTTAAAATAATTATTACACCAGTTAATGATGTTAAAAAGCAATGCAATAAAAATGTTGCAGATAATCATAATCCCAGTGGAGGTGGTGAGTGCAAAGTTAGCATGACCCATAGAATGACAATAGCACACAATTTATGGGAAATATACAAGGTTAAAACATTCCTTTAAGCTCCGGGCCATCTTCACACAACAGTTAAGGTAATGTGGGTAGATGTCCTCCGGAGGGCAGCAGCTGTCTCCAGTCAGAAGTGCTCTGTTCATCACAGGTCCAAAGGGGAGTACTAACAGTGCTGCCCACAGTTCTTGCCCCCATTGTCTTTTCTTTCCTACAAATTAGTACTTAACTATAAAATGGCTATAGGGAATAGTGTTATATGCATAGCTTATGGCTTTTATCCTACAGCCTATGAATGAGGGAGTCTACAGTTTGTACTCTTTGATCAATCAAGGGTGCATGGTGTACACAGCAGTCTACAGTATGTAACTGGTGATGACCAGCTCAACAAACTGGTCCCAAGAAAGAAAATTAGCTAAAAATAAAGCTTGGAAGCTTTATTTTCGATCATAAAAAAAACATCAAGCTAGCTAAAATCTGCAGCGATTTTTTTACTAAAATATGAACTCCTTGCAAGCACTCAAGTGTGTGCTTGGAGCCTATATCCATGTGAAACCAGACATACATTTAGACGCTGTATTAAGCAGCTCTCTACCTGTTATATCCATAACTCAATCTTGTTAATTTGATTTTGAAGCCATGAACCCCAGTTCAGCAGCAGCCACTGTGGCTCACCTCAGATCAATATGGCATTTGATTGGATTAGCTGGAAAAACACTGCCTGGCTCACTCTGGTTCACTTCACTATCCCCCAAAGCACAAAGCTTCTGGATTGACTTCTCCACCCTTGTACCTCTTTGTTCTTAGTGTTTTTCTTCTTCAGCACTGAGCATCTGGTTTGCCATTATCATCCTCTTATTTGAGGTCTAAGCTGTCTTTGTGATCTTCCTCATCTTTTTTTACTGTCAGCGTCAGATTCATCTGATTACGCGTCTTCCTTTTGAAAGAAGTACTAACAATGAAGGAAGAAAGGGAATAAAAAGGAAATATGGCAGGAGAGCATGAATTCAACATTCATATAGATAGAGTATGCGGGATTTTTGTGAAAGTTTAGAATATATTTGATAAATAATAATATCCATTTATTTATAGGAGCTAATTCATATTTATTCATATTGCTATTTCTCAGCCATGTCACCCTTTCCAGTGGGCTTTACTGCAGCTAGGCTTTTTCTCTCTGATATGATTATTTCTCAACCACACACATGCATTCATGGACGCAAACAAACACACACACACATACACACACACATATAGACACACAGTGTTATCAGCCTGAAGGCATCAGATTACCCTACCTTGGCTACATTAGCACTAAAAGCCCAGCCTCTTATCTCTAATAGTTCATTAGGGGCCAAACTACTCTGTGTGTGTGTGTTCTGGTGTGTGTGGTCTTGAAACACTATGCTCAGACAGCATCATGTTATAGGGCAGTGCTGATTCTGAAGTGAACTGACCTAAAATATGGGAAATCTGCCTGTTTTTCCTTGTTCAGAGTGGTCCCAGTTTTTAGGCATAGGAGTAGAACTATTTTATCCACTTTAGTGACTCAGGAAGGCTCCTAATAACAGCAATAACATGTAGTTACAGAAGCAACAATTTGGGAACCTGAACTATTAAAGCGCACATGGAGGGGCATTTCAAGTACATACATACTAAGGTACAACACAAAGATGCTCTCAGCTCATGAACCAAAAGCCTCCCTAACTACATTCTACATTAACATTGAGGCTAACAAATGTTCACCTTTAATATGTACTCTTCTTACAATTAAAAAATAAGATATATCTGTATCAATTCCAACTGGTGTAACACATTTGATGAAAGCAGGTGAATTGTCATCTGTGTGGGTCATTGCAGTACTTTGGTGATAATACTGTACATATATATTTTTTATGTGCCTGTGTTTAAAGAGTAACTTAACACCACCTGAAAATCTTGTTTGTGACAACTATCAGTAGTGATAGTATGATGTAGTGTACTCACAGGTGTATCAGTACACCATGACATCACTGTTGGGTGAGGGTACAGGTACAGAAGTGCACACCTCTAACGATGCTCAACCAGCAGTGGTGCTGGGTGTGGTCAGAGATTAAACAGGCTTGAAACTTTTACCCTGAGAGGGCAGTGAAACACTGCACTTCAGCCTGGTTATTCCTTAAGTAGTTTGTCATACACCCCCATTTTGACCTTCTCAATCAGATGTATTAAAGCTTGTAAGTCTTGTAAAAAAATATACAGAAAAACAGCAAGTTGTCATTAATTTAATTTTTCACGCCTCAGTGTAGTCAAACAGAGTGGTTTGCTTTACATTCTTAAAGGAGAAAGTTTTCTTGTTAAAGTAGGCGTAGCAGGATCCCCCTCTGTGCTGAAGTAAGACTAACTTAGTAGGAAATGATTCTGACATTTTGATAGGCCACTGGAGATGTGACTGTAATTTTGCATGTGTGGTTTGTAGTAGAATCAGTCCTTAAAGCACTATAAAGGAATCCCCAGAGAAACAGTATGTGAGTCATCTGTACAAGTTACCCACTTTTTAATTATGAATGCTGCTGTAGGTTTGTTAATTTTCTTCCCTCACCGTCTTGACAGATTTCAGATTGTTTACCAAAGAGAAGGAGTAGAAGAGAGCGGGTGAAAAAGTCAGACAGAGTTTATGTGTGTGTGTATTATATTTTGGTGAGATGAAAACAAGCTCCTTTTTAGGATTCCAAATCACATCAATCCCTCACTTCCAACATTTATTTTTTGTTCTGTCAGTCTCCATCTGCCATCTACACCACCTCCCCCTTGCCCTGCTCTTATCCCTGTCAATCACACAGCATAGTGACTGAATAGCTGAATATTTAAATTATATTTTTCTGCTCTAAGCTTAGGTTGTACTGTGTTAATGTTATGTGATTTTACCTAAACTTGTTTCTGTAATATTTTTTTTTTTATGAATCACAGATATATTAGGTGTTACCTTGGTTATAGTCACCATAAGTTCTTAATACAACACCAACAGTGTTTGGATATTTTGCATTTTCACTGATTCTTAGAGGTAAGATGTATATGGTAACAATACGTGGTGAATGATGTCTCATTTCTCAATGGTAGAAAAAGTATCTCTTTAAGTGCAGCGCAAGGCAACAGGTTCCCCAATAAAATATTATTTTGCATGCTCTAAGAATCAAAATATATATATAGTCAAAACATATTTTTACATATGTGAAATGTCCCCAATGTAAGAACAAAGCTGCGAATATGTCTACTGTACTGCCCTCATCAGGACCTTTTTTCAGTACTATTCTTTCCCCATCCCTCCCTGCTGTGAGATGTTCTAACCTGGTCCAATTAATTCTAATGACCTGAACTTCATGTTCTTTTTGTTCTGCTTTTATGCTGTATCCAAGCATTGTCTGAATGCATCAATTAATCTGCTTTTAAACACTTTCTTTTCTGGGGGTCAAATCATAGGGGTGCAAGTGGTGGTTTGGTTCCCCTGTTGTGCCAAGGCTCTGTACCAAGCCGAGCCACGAGCACTTTGGGCTCTCTTTGATCAAATGTTGAAAACAATTTATTGTTCCAAAGCTTTTGTCAGGAATAGCCACCCTGTGACAATGCGGCTGCACTTTCAACTTGGTCAAATAGATATTGCACTAATTGTTGAGACTGAAACATGGACTATACCTTCAAAAATGGGTGCATCGTTTTTTCAGTCAAATTTAGTTCAGTCAATCAATTTTTATCCGGATTCTGTGTTTTGTTGTTCTATTAGACTATTGTGATTTACAAGACACAGTAGTGGACATAAGCTCTTCTCTCTTCAAGAGATACCTGTGTACAAAAAATAAACATACAGTTTAAGCGAAGACAGGCACACACACATTAACCTCATTTCATTTGTGTGCAGCATAGTATTTGAACCCACTTTTTCCAAGTTCTGTGTGAACTAGAGGTACAGCTGATATTAAAATGTCCTGTGACCTGACATTTTAAGTACTGTATTGAAATGTAACCCGAGAGGAGAGGTATGAGAATTATTGTTATAATAGATCTAAATGCTTCAAATAACCATTGGAGATTTGAAATTTGAAATGGTGGTCATGGTCATGTCTCTGACAGCTTGTATACATTTACACGTTATATACTTACATATATATATTTGTTAGTTTGTCCTCACTCCCTTTATTTTCGACATCACCCACAGGGTTCTTCGACAGTGTCCGGGATCTCCAGCATAGAAGATCGGCCCAGCACCTTGGGCCAGTCTCAGTCTGCCATGAACATATCGAGAATGTCTCCCAAGTCTGAAAACAAGAAGAGGAGGGCTCCGGCACTACCCGAAGCCCCAACACCCTCCATGGGACATACTAGTTTTGACGGCTATCAGGTGAGGGGATACATATGTTGAATTTGCCTGTGTTAGTCAGATTTAGACACATCAATGCCTCTTGTTCCACTGTAAAACGTACGCCCAGTGTGGTAAAAGCACAAATACATACCTGCAGGACAAACACTAAATCTGACCATCTCACACATATGAAAAGGTACACAGAAAGGATTAGATCATTGTATGAAGACATACTGCATCCAAAAATAAAGTCCAAAAAAACAATGTATAAATGGGACTAAAATGGTGACACAACCTGGTTTTTTCACCTTGGAAAAAACCCTGTTATGTGAAATATCTGAATGTCTCAGCTCTCTAGATTGACTTGAAGTAGAACATCTTAAAGCTACAATCTGTTTGACGCAGCCTTTCCCTTGGGTGTTTTGGTCTCAGATTCAGGTCCTCAAGGTCAGAGTGACCTGTATCATCTATGTTAGAGGAACAGCTCCCTGCAGTCTCATTATAGTGTTATGGCAGCATGCTGGGAAATGTTGTTTAGCAACCAACATCCTTCCTCCCTCCCTCTGATAATAAGTTATGTTTATTTGGAGGAGCTAGTGTTCTTGGATGGATGTTATCGAGAGGAAATGTTGTTCTCAGGACGCCATGGAGAATAGTGTTATCCTCTTTAGCTTTAATTAACTAAACTGAACTGTGCATGGAAGAGCAGAAGAAACATTTCTGAGAAATAACTAACTGGAGGTGCTACAAACATAAGCCTGAATGATCTTATTTACAGTGTAAATAGATATTTCTGTCCATTTAAGTTTATAATGGTAGAGTGAGTTTAATAATTGTGTAGCTTCAGTGGACCATATGAGAAGGTATATGGCTGGTTTTCATTATTAGCTAAAATTCTTTATGGTTCATTCTAACTTTTAAATTATAGATGTTTGTTTGTTTCTTTTTTCAATGCATTGTGCATCTATTAAGATGTCCCTTATAGCTGTTGTGATTGTTTTTAGTACTGCAAATTGTAGTTGTGCAGAGGGGCACAGTCATTTTACTGTCCACCTGTCAGATTAAGAGTTATGAACGACACTGGAGCTGAGACACATACTGAGACACCAGTGGTAGTCACAAGGGTAGCTTGGGTGAGCTAGTTGGGAAGGTCATCTAAGGACTTGATGACTGGTCTAATAATAGATTTCTCCATCTGGCTGTTATGCCTTCTCTGAACTGTTATCCTGTCTGAACACAAAGTCTGTGAATGTATATTCAGTCCACACACTGCAAGGTCATGCTTTGGTTCAGGACACCTCATGTTTCACCTCTCTGTTCTCTAGTGTTGCTTTTTGAGTTTAGAGATTGAGGACAGGCGGCTGTCACTGTGTTCTGCTTGTCTTATAAACACTTCATTCAACAGTATAGCAACAAGCCTGTAAAAATTGGAATTTACATAACTATACTGATTGATAGGTGAATATATCAATAGATAGGTTGGTTGCCCTTTTTCCCCTTAGTTTCAAATACGTATTCATTGCACTACAGTTTTTGTCAGTGCTAAGCCTTTGTTGGCCAGGTTAAAAGTGTTTCCTCTGATACACACAGTGTCACCAGCTGCTTCTTTTCACCCTCCAGTGAGCTTAGCCATAAGGGCGTAACACGTAGAAGGATCCCTCCTGGTCCGAAGGTGCATGTATCTGATCTGAACTAGCATTCATTGCTAGTGCAGTGACGAAGGTCCTACTGCGGGGAACTGAGCTCCCAGTTTAAATTACTGATTGATTAATTGTCTGATGTTGTTTCATTTGGTGCATGTGTGCATATGTGATTAGCTAGTGTCATCTGAGGACACAACTGAGGTGTTAGGTGTTCAGAGATTAGCAGCACGCCTGGCCTGTGTTTGTTGTCTGAATGTGATTAGAATGGGTTTAGTTTCATGACAGTGAATGGTGTCATAGCAGCCAGGTCTTTATCAGGATAGTTTCTCAAGGGCATTGGCATTAAAGATCTCTGCATGACTTGGATCTGTGGAACAACTCTACATATCATGTCAAATCACATCACAGTCAGAAGTTGTACTTTCTCATTTGCATGAAAATCGGCATTGTAGTTTCTCTGGGCAGTATTAAGTAATATTAGAAGTTTTGCTGTCAGTAAAGGAGCACATCATTTTCAAAAAGTTCAAGCTCCAGTGAAAACAGATGTCACGCTATACTTTTAAAATATAATAGTTCAGCTACTGGTTTGTGGGGATGGGCTGGAAGTGGGCCAGCTTGCCTGGCAGAACTCACACACAATTTATCACCAAATGCGCAGTTTGCTTTTGTTGGATTTTGCTGACTCAGACTTGTTGTACACTAAAAGTCTTTCTCAATTCCACTGCATACTGCTTTGTATTACAACCTACCCCACCACCTTACGTAGAAACTGTCTGTATATACATTACGAATGTGTGTGTGTGTGTGTGTGTGTTTGAGATAGAGAAGGGTTGGCACACGATAGCAGGTTATCTGAGGACAGTTCTCTATGATGACTGTCCTCATTATAGACCCCCCTCTGTGCTGAAAAGCTTAGGTGGTCAACTAATTGTGACTTACAAGACACAGTAATCGACATTGACATCATATTATAAGCTATAAAGATGATGAGATTGTTATAACGAAGCTACATACTTCAAACAGACTTTGGAGAGGCATAGATCACAAAGGGCAATCGTTTAAATCCTAATGGGAACATACTTAGATTAACATCATTGACAAAGTTAGGAAGGTCAGAGTCTCTACAGTCAACTGTGGAGATATTGGTAAAATTTAGGGCCACATTTTGGGCAGCATTTGTATCTACCACAAATGATACATTTAGGATAACTTTTTGTTACATAGTAGGACTTAGCAATATAGCTGAACAACTTATCATGATAAAATTTTTCATTTCAGTTGACATAAATAATTGTTGACAATTTTTTCTGACCTATTCCTAATAAAGACCAGGTGGAAGAAAGTACTGACCAAACTACTTTATTTTTTCAAGGTTAAAGTAAATCTTTTGTCATATGGTATTGTTGCTAAGCACTTCTCTATTGTGGGCTGCTTATGGATTGCTTTTTGAAATGTAACAGATATAGGTTTTGACGACATGTTGCATACTCCAAAGGGTGGGAGTGGCTAGTGTGATTGACTCATAGCATGCTCCATTATCAAGGGATATGATTTCGCTGTTTATGGGCTAGGGCCTATTCGTTGTGTGCTTTTATGGCGGTTTGCATATAATGTATTTAAGTGAAACTATATGTACTATAACATTTCACTGTGGCTCTGTCTCTTGCACTCTTTACTTTTTTCTAATGTGGTTGGCCTAAAAATGTAAGCAAAACTTATTTTTAATGTTGTGTTGATGTAATCTTGTGTAAACACTTATTATTTTGGAGGTTTTTGTTTGGACTTTCTTGTTAATTTTATCCTGGTGTCTTTTTTTTCAAAATAAGATCCACACTATTTTTATTTATCAGAAAAGCTAGTGTAAAGACAAGATAATACTTTTTTAAGCACTGCTTGTAAGTCATTGTACCCCACTGTTATACAGATAGTAGAACAAAATACAATAGTAATAGAATATTACTAGAACTTTTGACAAAGATCAATTCTGACTTGCCTAAAGTATATAAAAAATTAAGTTTTAAAAGAGAAATAATAGTACTACAACTTTTAAAAAGAAAAGAGAGGGGCAGTTTGTAGGATAAATTGAGAAGTAATATAGTACAGATAGTCCACAGCAGCTCCTTGTTTCTAAGGTAGATTCTTCTTTTTATTTACCAAAGTAAGTTACAATTAACAGCACTGTATGTTATTATTAATACATAGTCATTATACAACTCTTTGCACAATGTGGATTGATGTCAAGGTGTTGAAATGAGAACTGTAACATGTCCATTTAAGATCTTGTTTCATTTACAGTAATGACAGTAAATCTGTCTGGGTCACAGGTTGCTATATACAGTAGTGAAAATGGGAATAGCAACAGCACTAAAAACAGATGACACAGTATTTCAGGAAGAGTGTAAAGTCATCTTTGACTGTAGGAGAATCAGATGTTTTTTCCTTTCACTGGCGTCGTCATGGAGTCAGAGAAGTTTACCGTTTTGTTTCTGCAGTTTAACAATCAGCAATCTGTGTCTGCCTTTATGAGAGCATCACCGAATTAAATTATGTTTTGGAACATTGAGTTCAGTGAAACACAACCTTGTTTTATTTTTTTTTGGCAGTGATAGGCAATCTGTTATTGTGGTTTGGAAAGAAAGCCATGTCTACATTGCCTCTCGTGATAAAGGAGTTCAGAGAAATTCTGAGCTTTCTGCTTCACTGCTCAGTAACAGAAGGTGCTTTTTGAAGTGCATCTGTGCTTATGTGAGTTGTACGTGCAGGAAGACTGAAAGATAAAGACAGAACAGCTGAAGCAAGGAATTGGAGAGATGATAAAGAGCAAAAGAGAGAACCTGAGTGACTTAAAGGGTCATAGAGAGAAATGGAAAGTCAGGGTAAGGTAACATCAGGTCTTTTAAGGGTTTTACATGTGTATATTTGGGTTGTTCTACATTAACAATGTATAAGCTTTGGGATCGTTTTTTTTAAATGCAGTACAGCATGAAATCGGGTCGGCAGGCCCTCAGCAGAAGAAGGACATGGCAACGGAAAACTTCAACAGAGGGCAAGCAGCATTAAAAAGCAGAAGGTGAATGAGTAATAAGATCAGTTACAGTAAGCAGGCTATCTGTAGTCTGTAAGAAAAGTTTACAAATATTGTAAAATGGATTACCTACAGCTAAATATAGACCAGATTTGTATTTATTGCACTTTCACTTCTCCTATATTTTATTTCAACTCACATTTTAAAGTCCTGTCATCAAATGACAAAGCCTGGAACTGCCTAGAAAAAGGTGATTGACAGCATTACATGTATGTAGACTTATTTAGCAAGGTCCAATACAAAACCATTTGTTGTTCTACACAGCAGTTTCTTGTGAAACCTGAAGCCAAAGAAGGGTAATACGAGCCAGA